TCCTAGCAGCCCGCCAGTGTTGTGGTCGGTGTCTCCCAGGCGCAACGTAGCGTGCCCGGATGTTGAGAGGGTACGCGAGGTCAGGTCTAGTGCATTCATCAGGTACATGAGGCAGCCCACAAGCTCTGGGTACTGACCACTCGGCTCTACGGACTCGTCCAAAGGTGGAGTTGAGAGCGAGTGGCCTATAGGAAGAGGAGTGGACAGTGGCGAGAAGAACTGGAAGCCGAAGCGCTGAAGGACCTGGTGCACCATGTGTGACTGAGTCAGAGTGATGGTGCGCCGCGCTCTGTCCCGGGTGATCTGCAAGCCAAGACAGTTGCGCAACTCACCCAGGTCAGTGCAAGTGTGTCTCTTCTGTAGCTCCGCCTTCACAAGGGCCAGTGCCACAGTGTCAGCAGTAGCAAAGACAAAGTCTTCGACGTACACGAGGATGTAGAATAGCGGCAGAGAAGGGTCGGTGCGCAGAAACAGCGACGGGTCACCAGTCGAAGCAGCAATTCTAAGAGCCCCAAGTGTAGTCCTCAGCGTGTCGTGCCACTCGCGGGGCACCTGACGAAGACCGTAGATTGGATGCCAAAGGATCCACTAGGTACCCTCAGGAAACGACTGAGTAAAGCCAAATGGGCGGCGCAGCCATATCTCCTCTTGAAGGTTGCCCTACAAGAAAGCTGTAATGAAGTGAATCGAGTGGAGCTTGTAGTCACGCTTTGCTACAACGTGCATTAACACCCGAAGAGTGGTCATCTTCGGGGTGGGGGAGAAGGTCTGGAAGAAGTCGACCCCCTGTCGCTGACTGAAGCCTCGTGCAACGTAACGCGCCTTGAAGGCAGGCGGAGAACCCGGCGACCGCTCCACCCTAAAAATCACATGCCATCGACTATGTTCGCCCTAGGAGGGGGAACCTCGTCAACGTAGGTGCCTTTGGACTTACAGGAAGCCATCTTTGCATCCATAGCTGTCTGCCACTGAGAGGAGTACTGACCCGAAATCGCCTCTGCGTAAGAGCGCGAGGTCGGGATGTCCAGTGCATCCAGGTCTTCCTCAGGGGCAAGCATCATGGCAGCAAGATGAAGAACAGCAGCCGCAAGGCACTCGAGCTCAAACTGTCAGTCCTCAAGGACGTCACAGCCAAGGGCGGAGGACAGTCAGACTCAGACTCTGTAACAAGACTCGCGAAGTAGTCAAGACGACAAGCGGAAGCGAAGTAAACAAGCTCAGTGATTATGGCTGATGGAGTAGTAGACTTGAAGGAAGGGCCAATGAGAAGGATGGCCAGGAAACGCATGACAGTGGGACTAGCAGTACGAGTAAGGTCGGACTCAGGGTCAGGAACGTGAGGAAGAGAGGACTCCGGTGGAGACAACAGAGCAACATGCTGTGGACGAAGTGCCATATTGTGTGTGCGGGGGAATGGTGGAGGACGAGGACGACGAGCACGACGAAGAGTGCGAACAGGCAAGGCAGGACAAGACTCAGGCTCACAACGCTCAATCAGGGACTCTGTCACCTCAGTGTAAGGAGCAGAAGCAGGCAGTGCGTTATTGTCACAATAAGCTTGAATGTGCCTAAAACGAAAAATAGAGTGCACACACGGATTTCGGCAGAGCGACTTCAAACTTTGATAACATTATGCTCAGAGCACTAAACAAAGTTCTATAAATTGGATCTAGAGCTTCTTGATGTCGCCTACAATTAGAAAGTTGATTTACTTGATTTGATAAAGAAATGACGACGTACGAGTAGTTTGAGCGAACGGTGGTCTAGTAGCTACTATATTCTTAGGACACAAGATACGAGTTGGGAATTACTCCCAGCCTCTACAAACCCTAAGAGCCCAGGTACAATGATGTGGAACAGTGAAACACTGTACCTAACCACAAAGGGTCTCGAAATTTCCCTCCAAAAGGGCCTACACCAAGAGAAATGTTACACTACACATTGTAATGTAACTATTCTCACTATCTTGAAGTTTATCCTTTTGGCGAGCTTCGAATCACTTGAGTCTTGACACCAAGGCTCTGGTTCTTCACCATAAAATTATCCTTGAGTTCTTGAGAGTCTTCTGCACGCACCTGCGACACGCCGAACGTTCGACACACGAAAAAATAGAAAACGCACACGACACACAAACGACGACGTGACACGCGAATAGCATAACTCGCTATTGACTCGACACATATGTTCGACATCATGATTCATCATGCACACACTAATACAAGCATGAGATATATATTATCTCATGCCCTCATACCATTCCATGCACACACACACAAGCACGCACAAGGACAACAAGCCGAGTGCAAACCATGGGGTTGCACTAACAAATTTCCTCTCCGATTGTTGGCCTTAGAATCTGGATATCTAAGTTCAGAGCCATCCCAGCCAGCTTGTGTCAACGGGAGTGTTGTTTGGCCCCGCCCTCGCTTGGGCGGAGCCGACCTCGTGGTCGGATGTACGGGGGTTGCAGCCGACCTGCAGCAGTGGGCACGGGGGCCACTACAAGGGCGCCGAGCTGGAGGGCGCCTGGCTGGAGGGCGCCTGGCTGGAGGGCGCCGGGCAGAAGGACGCCGTCCTGGATGCTTGGTCGGCATCCTGGAAGGTCAGACGCCGACCTAGGCGTCTGCACGGCGTCCTGGGGGCCCGGACGCCGACCTGGGCGTCCTGGGAGCCCGGACGCCGACCTGGGCGTCTGGTTGGCGTCCTGGGAGGCTGGACGCCAAATTGGGGGTTAGGACGGCGTCCTGGGCGCCTGGACGCCGGACTTGGGACGCCGGGCATGGGTGGCCGGCTACAGACTGCGCTGGTCGACCAGGCATGGTTGCCCGGTCGACCGGGATATCCGGGCGACGTGCGCGAGTGTCGCCAGGGTGGAGTGTGCGAGGCCGACCTCGGGGGTGGTATCCCGAGGTCGACGTGGCTGGTGGGCGCAATTGCTGGCGTGGAGTCTGCCAGGCGTCTGCGCTGTGCTCGTGACAAGGTGTGGAGCGCCAACCAGCTGCGCGCACCTGCGAAGCAGATGCACCGTTGTCCTGTGGGTGCAACGCTGTGCAGCCGACTTGTTGCAGCGTTGGCACGCCAAGGACTTGCAACATTGGCGCACTGCTACTTGTCACAATAGATTTATATCTATTTAGTATAATCTGCCTGTAGTGTAGCTGTTGTGTAATTCCCTTGTATGGTGGTGCACCTCTTTCATCTTTGTTAGGTTGCTATATGTACTCGTGTGCTATAGTGAACCTCAACACATTCTCTTCTCCCTTGGCACAACTCCCTCGACACCCGCTTGGCCTAGGCTTCTAAGCCTAGGCCCTTAATTAAACCCGGTTACCAGCTCAGATCGTATCGTAACATGGTATCGAGCGGTTCCTTTCCTAAGGACCGAATTTTTATGGGCCCACCGCTAGCCTCTCGCTATGGCGTACCCCGTTGCGCGGCCCGTAGCGCGCCTCGTGAGCGCTTCCTTGCCGTAGCCCGTCGCCCACGCGCTACCCGCTGCTTCTGCCCGTCGCCGACGCGCTACCCGCAACTGCATCCCGCCGCCCGAGCGATATCCGCTGCTGCAGCCCGTCGCCCATCCCGTCGCACTGCCGCCCGTCGCCAGATCCCCGCCACCCGTACGCTCTCCGCTGCTCGTCGCCAGGTCCCCGCCCGCCCTCCCGTCGACTTCGCAACTGCTGTGAAGGGAGTGGCGGGAGTCGCGAGAGTGGTGGGAGTGGCGGGAGAAGCTGCTGCTACGCCCTTGCACGCGCCTGATCGTCCTCCACCCGCACCCTGCACCCTGCCCGCCGCCCGTGCGCCACCCGCACCACGCACCCCGCCCATCTCCCGTACGCCACCCGCATCTGCACGACCCGTCCCTGCCCCGCCTGCATCTACCGCGTCAGCAACTGCCGTTTCGTCCCATACCCGCACTGTCCCTGCCCCTCCCCGTCCCTCCCTCGTAGCGCCTTCCCTCTCTACCGCGCCTGCCTATGCCGTGTTGGGCGGTGGTGGGTGTGGAGGACAGTGGGGGCGGCGGCGGCGGGAATGGCAGGAGTTGCGGGAGTGGCGGGGTTGGCGGCTCATGTGGAGGGGTGGGGGAGGCGTGGGGGAAAGGGGTGGTGGGCGGCTGTCAGCAGTGAACGCCAGCGCAAGCGCCAGAACTGCCGCCAACGCCTACCGCCCGTCCGTCTTCCCTTCCACCCCTCCCCGTCGCCTTCACTACCACGACTGCAGCTGTTGGGGGGGGAGTGATATGGAGGGGGTGATCAAATTGCACCAATTGTCGCCACGCCTCCTCCTATCTCTCTCTGCCGCTGTTGCTGCTGTGGGGGGGAGGTTCAGGGGGTGTGGGTGGATGTTCCAGCTGCAGCAACTGCCACCACACCTCCTCCTGTCATCCCCCCGCCCCGTGTCTCCCGTGCTGCTACCCCGTCGTTCCTGTGCCCCACCCGTGCTGTCCGTACCCAGTCGTGCCCCACCCGTTCCACCCGTTCCACCCGTTCTGCCCGTGTCCTGCCCGTGTTCTGCCCGTGATTCTGCCCGTACTGCTGCCCGTGATTGTGCCCGTGATTATACCCGTGTGTTGCCCGTATTTTGCCCGTGTTCTGCCCGTGATCCTGACCGTGATTCTGCCCGTGATTCTGCCTGTGATCCTGCCCGTGTTGCTGCCCGTTCCCGTGCCATACTGACCGTGCACCTCCTGTGCTCCCGTGATCCTGTGCTACTCATGCTTCTTGTGCTTCTCGTGCTGCCCCGTGGTCCTGTGCTGTCCCGTATTGCCCGTCCTTCCCCGTGCTTGCCCCGTGCCCGTGCCCGTGCTGTCTGCCCGTGTTCCCTGTGCTTCTGCTCGTGCTCTACCCGTGCTGTTTGTTCCCGTGCGTGCCCCACCTGTACCACCCGTGCTGTCAGTGCCCGTGCTGCCCCGTTCTGCTTGTGCTACCTCGTGCTCCTGTTCTGCCCCCGTGTTCCCGTGCTGCCCCCGTGTTCCCATGCTGCCCCCGTGCTGCCCCATTCAGCCCTTGTGCTGCCTCGTTCTGCCTGTGCTGCCCCGTTGTCCCCGTGTTGCCCCGTTCTGCCCGTGTTGCCCCGTTCAGCCCGTGTCCTGCCCTGTTCAGGCCGTGTCCTGCCCCGTTCTGCTCGTGTTGCCTCGTTCAGCCCGTGTCCTGCCCCGTTCTGTCCGTGTTGGCCTGTTCTGCCCGTGCTGCCCCGTTCTGCCCGTTTGTGTCCTACCCGTGCTGTCCGTACCCGTTGGTGCCCCACCCGTGCTGTCAGTTCTCGCTCGTGCCCCACCCGGTCTGTGCTGCCCGGTCTCGTGCTGCCTGTCACCCCCGTGCGGCCCGTCCCGTACAGCACCTAGTTGCTACCCGAACCCGCTACCCGTACCCGTGCTCCTCGCACACCGTGCACCAGCTGCGGGGCGTTCAACCGCAGCCGGGCACCTGTTCCACGGCGGTGGTTCAGATGCAGCTTGGTGGTTGCTGCTTGTCGGCTTCAGAGGGGGCCCCTTGCTGGTGTTCCCACGCCCTGTAATGGGGTTTTACAGGTGTACCCCTTCAAGGGGGGCTCTACACATGGTTATGCACTTCAGGCAGATAGGGGGTGTGTCACAATAGATTTTTATCTATTTAGTATAATCTGCCTGTAGTGTAGCTGTTGTGTAATTCCCTTGTATGGTGGTGCACCTCTTTCATCTTTGTTAGGTTGCAATATGTACTCGTGTGCTATAGTGAACCTCAACACATTCTCGATTCTCCCTTGGCACAACTCCCTCGACACCCGCTTGGCCTAGGCTTCTAAGCCTAGGCCCTTAATTAAACCCGGTTACCAGCTCAGATCGTATCGTAACACTACTCTGCAACGCTGGAGCGGTGCGAGCGCTGCTGCGCTGGAGTGTGGTCGACCGTGCTGCGCTGGAGGTCGACCAGCAGCCTAGCTAGCTTTGATGTAGTCTGTGATGCCAATGTTGTTGCAATCATTGTTGTCAACCTTTCTTAGTGAAACTCTTGCCAAATTGCCCCGTGAACTAGCAAGCAGTGTGTGCACTAGGAAACCGACTAAGGACCAACGAACGCAGAGATCACATGAGCACCCGTGCCTAGCCCGTAGTCCAGCTCCCGTTGCTGAAGTTATCTCCGCATGGTGCGGTGAGCGTGGACGACACCGTGACGTAGTCCAATCTAGCCGACTTTGCACTTACCGATCGTGTTCGTATGCCGGCAGCCGTGCAGTCACTAGCGTGCGCGTAGGTGACGCCGAGGTGATGGAAACCCTGGAGGCACAGCTGGAGGATGCGAGGAGACGCCATGAGGCCCAGGAGTACGGGGCGATACTCTGGGCAGTCGTCGAGGCAGGACTCCGCTCCGTGTGGGCGGCGGAGCACCCCCCTTCTCGACCAGCCTCTCCTCGACCGGTGAACAACAGCGGCGGCGTCGACGTGGGCGTCAACGCCGGTGGAGGTAAGGTCGGCAGCAGTGCTGGAGGCACGTCGAGGCAGCGTGGTGTGATTCACGCCGATGAAGTCGGCGGCGTTCAAGAGAGAGGAGTGCGGTCATCGACGGCTGCAGGCTCCTCGCAGGGCGACGTTGGAGGTCGACGAAGCGGATTGTCGCCGATGTCGGCGACTCAGGTGACGGCGGGCGGGATAGCACCGAGCTACGGCTACTTCAAGTTCACGCCGGACAGGATCTTGGTCACTCCGCCGCTCGTTGGTCGACAGGACATACTCACTTGGAAGGAAGCCATCGAGCCCTAGCAGGAGATGGCTGGGCTGATCGGCTTCGCCCGAGGGACCGTGGCGACGCCGGGGGAGCACCATCCCGACTTGCGAGCAGAGTTTCGAGCCGTGCAGCTGCTGACCTTCACGGTCATTTCGCGGTGCTGCTCGCCGGGCGTGCCGATCGCTCTGAAGTGGTGTTGAGAGTACCTCGACGCCGGCCACCGGGCGTGGCACTTCATCGTGTCGACCTACCAAGTCACCGACGACTTGTTCATCGCCCAGCTGGAGGGGCAGCTGACCGACTACTATGGGCGTATGGGCGACGAGGAGACTGCTATCGACTACTACAACCGAGCCCGGCGAATTCTTGCCACCATCAGGATGGCCGGCGCGCAGTACTCGACGGCGTCGTACGTCACCCACGTCATGCAGAAACTCTCGAGCAGCTACAGCCTCCTGAAGCGGCTGTCCATGGCACCGAGCACAATGGCGATGCTCAACGAGGACAACTTGACCTCGTACATCCTGCAGGACGAGGCGATGCAGGAGGCAAAGCGGTCATAGGAGCTCCTGGCGAAGGCGAACTTTGTCGCCCCGGCGAAGCAAGTAGGTCGACCGGGGCAGCGTGGGCAGTCTGGCGGTGGCAGTAGCAGTGGCTGGAAGCCGAGCAAGGACGACGACAAGAAGAGGTCGGCCAAAGATAGCTGTCGTGGAGGAGCAGGTCGCCGCCGAGAATGCTGGATCTGCCACAGCCCCGACCACCTCTCCTTCGAGTGCCTCGACCGCAACGATACCGACGACGACGACGCCAAGGGAAGTCGCGGGAGGTCGGCCGGGCGTCGCCCTCACCGGGAGAGTAAGTCGCGCAAGGAGAAGCAGTCGACCAAGTCGACCTCGGCGAAGGACGCCGACTCTTCTGCTGGCGGCAAAGGATGAGACGACAAGGAGGCGACGTGCTAGCTGGTCGGCGTGGTGGAGCCGATCGTCTCGTTGGCGCCAGAGGCCGGGGAGGACTTCCTGGCGGTGGCGGCAGCTGTACAGGCGAACCCGGCGGTGGTCCTGCTTGACAGCGGCTGCTCGCACCACCTGATGGGGACGAAGGAGGCCTTCATCAACCTGGAGCCGAGTGGCGACGTGAAGCACGTGCGCGGCTTCAATGGGGCGCTGCAGGACGTCCAGGGCCGCGGCACTGTCGCTCTGCAAGGGGAGGCCGGGAAGCAGGTGCTCATCCCCGACGTGCTGTACGTCCCGGGTGTGCGGGCAAACCTGCTGTCGTCCGGCCAGCTGAAGGAGCACGGCGTGAAGTTGCAGGAGGACGGCGACGGGATGCTGGTCGTCTTGGTAGCGGGAGAGGTGCTCGGCCGGGCGACGTACTCCGGGCGTGTCCTCTGCACCGACCTGCGTCCCTGCTCAACGAGGTCGATGTCGCCCACGCCAGAGGTTGTGGCCCTGCGGGCGATCATCTCGAAGAAGAAGTTGACGCCGGACAGAATGCATGCAAGGCTTGCGCACATCGGCATGGACACCATACGGAGCTCGGCGAAGCACGAGGTCGCTACTGGGTTGTACCTCCAGTCGGCGACGGGCGTCGACTCACCGTGTGTCTCGTGCATCGGCAGGAAGCTGGCGCGGCACACCTTCCCCGACCAAGGCTCCGACGCCTATGACGTGCTGGCCATCGTGCACATCGACCTGTGCGGGCCGTTCCGTGTGGCTGCCAAGGACGGCAGCTTTGTACTTCTTGCTGCTGAAGGACCGCAAGACCCGCTACGTGTGGGTGAGGTCGGTCGCCAATGTGCTGCTGGAGCTCCAAAAGTGGCTGGTGTTGGTGGAGAGGCAGGTGAAGAAGTCGGTGCTGATGAGGGGAGGAGGGGAGTTCCTCGGGAAGAAGTTCACCGACTTCGTGGACAGCCAGGGGATCGTCCACGACCTTACCTGCCCGTACACCCCGCAGCAGAACGGCATGGCAGATAGGGAGATGAGGACGGTGGTGGAGTCGGTGCAGACGATGCGGCTGCACATGAGCGTGCAGCACCACTGGTGGCACCTCGCTCTGCGGTAGGCTGTCTGGGTCCGCAACTGCCTTGACAGTCGACGCTGCCGCCGGGGACGACGACGTACCAGGTTCTCACTGGGACGAAGCCCGACTTGTCGCTGGCGCGGGTGTGGGGCTGCATGGCGCAGTTCTTGGTCCCCGAGCAGCGGCGTGGTGGGAAGGTGAAGCCAAAGGCCCGATGGGGCCTTCACCTTGGCGTGTCGGAGGAGAGCAAGGGCTGGGAGCTCCTCGACATCGCCGACAACCGGGTGGTCACCACATCGGACGTGGTGTTCTATGAGAGCATGTCGCTGGAAGTGTGGAAGTCGGCGCACGGGCCGGCGTTAGGGCGGATGCCGGTTCACCCGCCGACGTACACCTCGGCCGCGACGCTGCCTCTGCTCGCCGAGGTCGGTGAGCTTTCTGGTGAGGACGCCGAGGACGTCCCCGGCGTTTAGGCAGCTCTCCCGTCGCCCGTCACTTTCCCGTCGCCCGCGGTCTTTTCCCCTCCCGTCGCCCGTCGCTTTTTTTTCTCGCCCTTCGCCCGTCAGTTTTCTTCCTCGACCGTCGCCCGTCCGTTTCCCACGCGCGCCCCACCCGTCGCCCGTCGAACGACCGTAGGACGCAGGCCCCACGGCCCCCCTTTCTCGTTAACCGGCCCCGCGGCCTGACGTTACCGAGCCACGCGGCCACGCGGCCCCCCCACCCCCTTTTTCGTTAAACGGCCCCGTGGCCCGCGCTAGCTGGCCCCGTGGCCCCCACGCGTTATTTCCGCCCATTCACATTCTGTCGCGGCTCCCTACCGCCTCTCTCTAACAGCACACCCTAACAGCCGCCACACCCACTCTCCACCCCTTTCAACCTCACTCAACCGCTCCAAAACCGCTTGAACTGCCTTCAACAGCACCAGATACGCCCCTTCACCGCACTAGACCACTCTCAAACTGTCCCACCCGCCCTTCACCGCACTCAACCATGCCAGATCGTCCCCCACTGCTCCAGAACCGCACTCAATCGCACCAGGCTGCTCTTAGCCACCCTCCTCCATCCCTAGCCTCACCCAACCGCATAGAGGGCCTCTCTCTCGCCCTAGGCGCCTCCAACTGCTATGGCGACTGTTCTGGAGTTCGACCCTGAGGGGCGCCCTGTCGGTTTCCCGGCATGGCTGTGCAAGCTCAAGCTCTACCTCGTCAGCCGTCTCGAGAATGACATCCCTCTTTCCGAGCATGCCGCTGGTGAGCTGAAAGCCCCTCCCACTCCCGTTCCGCTTGGTGACGATGCGTCAGCGGATGACCAGGCTGCCTATGCCCAGCGTCGCATTGAGCTTAGGCGCTGGGCTGCGCGTGACAATGCAACCATCCTTGCTATCACTGCCCTGCTGCCGCTGACCGAGCAGGAACACTTTGCGCAGGAGGAGACGGCCCACGCATTGATGAAAGTTGTGATCACTCGCTATTCCACCCCGGTCAATGTGACCCTAGGACGCCACATCCTCCCCTTTCTCTTTCCTGATCTCCCGTCGTTCGCTAGGGTGGCTGACCTGATCCTGCACTTGCGTTCACTTGATGCTCAGTTCCGTGCTGCGTTTACCGACCCTGCCTTGCTTGCCAAGAACCCCCCCCCCCCATGTACATGACCCTGTACCTGCTAACCTACCATCTCCCTGACCGATTCAAAACTGTTCGTGATCACTTTCTCACCGTTGATCCACCGACCCTCACCATTGAGCTCTTTGAGGAGAAGCTCCTTGCAGTAGAGGGTCCCGCTCGGTCTCTTGCT